GTGTTAGACATGAAATTGTTAGAATCAAGGCTCTACATGTCAAAGTGAGTAATAAATAGGCAAATTAAGGGTCTCTTTAATATTGTAATGTTGGTAAACATGGGATAGCAAGCATGGTAAAAAAAAAATGCATATTTTACAAGTGTGTAACAGGACACTGAAAAAACGGTTAAAACGCCATAAACACATACACATTTATGAGGGTCAAAGACAGCATAAAGGATATTACTGGACAGGACTATTGATGGTCTTCTAATTTTGTTTTCTTTGAAAATTGAATTGAGGTATTCAGTCTAGTGTCGGGGGGACGGTTCATGGGGCGAATGACAGGATACCCTTGGACAGATTGCAAAGCTCATCAAATAAAAAAAACAACACAATTTTCCATGTGTTTTTTCACAAATTTGCATCTGATCTAAAATCTGATTTTATGATATTTATATTTATCAGAATATTTGATATTTTGTTTAAAAGGTGTTTTAAAAAATTGTATTAAAAAAATGAAAAAATAATTTTCTTAATGATTTTGCTCCCTCACGACGTCCATCCACTCACTCCCTTTTTCCCTGGTCTTTTTTTAACCTTCACTGACCCTGACGCATGCGTTGTGGTCTGTGTGTGGTATTTATAAAAGAATTTAGGGGTGAAATAAGGTTTTGAAATACCTACATTTCCCGTGATGCATTGCGATCGGACCCGGAAATGAAAACCGAATCAGCTGACTTGGTTGTGTGTTTCTGAGCAGTTTGGGCACTTTAAAGCTCTTTGTCGCGTCCCGTAAATTCAATAAGTGTTATTATATTCGATCTCTTATATCAGAGGGTGCACAGCCATGTTACGGCCGAAGGCGCTGACGCAGGTTCTCAGCCAGGCGAACACAAACGGAGTCCAGAGCACTCTGTGAGTACGGCGAGCTAGCCGCAAGCTAGCCACATGCTAACTGCTGCTGGAGTTTCAGCGGTGCATTTTTTGACGATTACATATAAATTTAAAGGCAATACACATGATAAGTCTTCTGAATATTCGATAAAACTGAATATAACCCCTGCGGGGCGACTAAAACGTAATTATATGAAACAGTGTGCATCCTGCATAAAGGAGCTTCTAATGTTTCACGACCAGCACAGTCTGTTTGAAAGTGCTCAACGCAAACTTCAGGGTACTTTATTATATAGTCAGTGTATCGGATCATCATCTCCGTCTCAGTATAATGTCCCAAATAACTGATAAGGGTTCATGTCAGGCATTTTTCCCCACAGGGGTTTAATTTCCTTAAGCATAAAATAAACAGTTGTTTGTTTACCTACTTAGTTTTGTAAATTTGACAATGTTGTCCTAATTTTATATCAAAATAATACACAGTTACAAACTAAAATAACCGTTTATGTAATGATATTTTCCACTAAGAGGAAAAAGGGCATCAGATATGTACTAAAACGATTTTTTTGTGTAAGATAATACAGACGGAGACTATATGTTGATCAGTTGTGTTTACCTGAGTAGGTGTCACCAAAATTCCTCTTTGAAAACGAAAAAGAAATCACACCTATAGAATCAAGTAGTCATCACTATTTCTGTCATTAGTTGGTATATGACACCATTTATATACGCTTTTAATGGGGATAATAATAATTAAAAAAAACAACTCTTGCCACTGCAGGGGTCCTTCAAGCTCCCAGACCTCTACCCTGGGAGGCCTGGGAGCTTTTAGGGTCCTGCACAGTATCTTTGCTGCCCCGAGGACTGTGCTCCTCTGGACAGAGATCTCCGTTGTTGTTCCTGGGATCTGCTCCGTTACCACTGGGACCACTGTACATATGGTGTTTTTGTCCTAACTTTCAAAGTAGTCCTAAACTACTTAAACAGACTTGCCTAGTAAAATGGTGTAGTAAGAAATCCTATACAAATAAAATACATTTTCGTGTAGTATACACCTTAGAGTATATATTCTGTTTAGTTGGTAACTTTGTGCTCTGAAAGTTATTATATTAATTTAATATTAATCTGCTGGTTATGTGGTTTCTCATCAGCTTACTGAATAATGAAGGCTCACTGCTGGCGTACTCTGGGTACGGGGACACCGACGCTCGAGTGACAGCTGCTATCGCCAGCAACATCTGGGCAGCTTATGACAAGAACGGCCATCAAGCCTTTAACGAAGACAAACTCAAATTCATTCTCATGGATTGTATGGTGAGGCATGCTGTTCCATCATCTTTTATTACTTTTTTTTCAGGTATATGTGAAAGATTTGTGTGATGTGAGAAAAAGTGGAGCGATCATTAAGTAATAAACTGAGATACTGTGGTCTTCTTCCCTTTAACATTGTCGTTCTCAGGAGGGAAGAGTGGCCATTACTCGTGTCGCCAACCTGCTGCTGTGCATGTACGCCAAAGAAACGGTGGGCTTCGGGATGCTTAAAGCCAAGGTTAGAGGTTAAACTCCGCCTTTTCATGAGATAATGTTTCATATCCTGAATGTGGATCATCAACAACTGTTACTGTTTCTATTAATGATTTAGGGCCAGGTTTGAAAATACTGGAAATTTACTCATATAAAGTAAAAGTTCTCTTTGTTGCCAATTTGTGAGTTGTTTTTTTTAAGTTAAAAAAAATCAGAAATGTAATTAATTAATATTAATATTTATTAAATCCATAAGTCGTTAATTATATTATTAAGCATCTGAGACAATAACTGATTTCCCAGCATGTTGTTTTACTATTTTAAGTGGACTTTACGCGCAGACTAAGTGTTCTAGTCAAATCTAAATGGACAGAAAAAATAGAAACCTTAACATCTGTAGCATATTGAATTTGGCAGCCGGCCGGTGTCTTTGACGCATTGAATCAACAGTTTAATATACTGATTCTGTAACTGGCAATTATTGCCTGTCATGCTTTTCTAAAGCCTGTGAGATGTCACTAAATACTTTTATTTTTTCCGACTGGCAGGTTTAAATTCAGTTTACTGTAAAGTTTAAAAGAAATCTTCTTAAATCAGCGTAAACATTGTAATAGTAATAAGCAGCTTCTTTCAGTAGCTGCTTATTACTCTTCTGCTATTGTCAGTACCTGTGACTGAACATGAATGATCGCAGTACTTTTATGTCTCTTTAAATCATATAGAAGCTCTCGCATGCAAAGACAAAATAATGAATAAAAACTCTTATTTTGAGCCTCCAGACCAGCTGAGAATGGATTTAATATAGAAACAGCTGAGGGTAAAGTGTGGCTCATTATTTGTTTGCACATAAATACATGAAACAACAAGGATTTTTATTTATTTTTAGCTTTTTGTGTTTTTAATTTTACCTCCGCTTTACTTCAGAGTTCTGTTACGGAGGCAGAGGATTTCTGCTAATGAAGGAAGTTCAGCAGTTTGATGTAATTTGGCAAAACATGCTTTTAGTTTAACAAAAGTCTGACTCAGAGGTAACAGTGAACTAGTGCCTCTTATAATGAGTTCAGTATTGTTTTTGTTTTTTTAAGACTATGTCCATCTTTTTGAATGTGCTTCCAATTTTTCTTAGTCAGAACTTTAGCCACTTTTCCCAGTCAGCTAATCTGCTGACACAGCCTCCGGAGGCTGACTAATCTCGTGTTGTATTCAGGACGTCCGGGTAACAGATAACAGATGTCTGAACAAGGCAAGGCTTTCTGTTCCATTTGTTTTCCATTGTGGATAGATTCAACCAAGCTGATTTATAAAAATTAATTAATTAATAAATACTACATCACTAAATTTTCTTCTTCCAAGAAAGCAAAATTTTCTTGCAAGTTCATGACATGTCACAAGAGACATTTAAAATTTAGTCTCAATCACATTCTCAATGATAATGATTAACATTTATAAGCATCATAAAACATGTCACCCGCTCATCATTTAACATTTATGTTGATCAAAATTAAAATTTAATGTATTGAGTCAAATATCATGTCACAACGAAATACAGGTTGTCCTGTTCACATCAGAAGGTTGTTATGCAAGTAGAATTTATATTGATTATTTATAATAATACTTTGTTATGCTGAAAAGATATGTATTTATTCCAAACATAACTGTGCTGTGTGTGTTGTGATTGTAGGCAGAAGCTCTGGTCCAGTATCTGGAGGAACCTTTAACTCAAGTGGCAGCGTCGTAGTCGAGATGTGACTCACGCTCTTCTGGATGCTTATGTCATGTGATCCATGTGATCCATTCATGGACTACTGTGCCACTCTGCTTGTTCACTAAATGCATAATGCATATATGTCAATGAACGGGCAAGCTTTTGTGTGTGTGCGCGTGTATATATGTATCTATGTGTGTTTGTACTAAAAAATTACCAGCTTGTATGGTGCGTAACTCTTTCCGCTCGCTTGTGAATACGTTCCCTTCAAAATTTGGCTAAATTTGTCTGTTGAAATGATTCCATTATCAAACGTTCCCACAGTCGAGTTGTTCATTTGCAGCTTTCGCTCAGGCATGCTGATCAAGGCTACACAGAAATTTGAGCATTTTGAAACTTGTCAGGAGCTCAAATCTCATGAAAAGAGAAATATGTGTGGAAACTTTGAACTTTCTTGAGCTGCAGTTAAGAATGATTGTATTATTTCAGAGGTGTTAAATAAAAGAAATGTACATTCAAATTTGCACAATCTTTGTTCTCTACGCTGACGTGACAGAGGAATGATGGAGGTGTAGATGTATATTAAAACTAACAGTGTGATGTACAGAGGGCTTTAGAAAATAAAAATGTGGTCACGACCTGGAAACAGCATGCCAAAAGAAAAAAAACTTTAAAAATTTCCCTGGAAAAAACTAAAACTAATCCCTGGAATTAGTTTTAATGACAAATTCTTAAAGGGCAGTTTTCGCTTCCTGGAGCCGTCTCCTCCACCAGGAGGCGTTTGAGAGTCCGCCTCTGCTGTACCTGCCACTGGCCCCACCTGTCCAACCTGCCCTGCAGTGACTCCATTATTTGGACACACCTCCACTGCTGCTCTGCCTTTTCCTGACTCAGGCCCCGCCTGCTGCAGGAGAACGACCTGGATACGCTCCACATGTCCTGTTTAAACAAGTCAGCCTTCTCTTAACTCACACGGGAGGGGAAGGATGTGAAGGTCAGGAAAGCTGTTGACTGCCACTCGTGTTAAAACCTTTTTTGCTGCCAGTTTCTTCCCTGAAGTCAAGCTGATTTTGGTCTCTGCTCAGTGTCATCTTACATCCTGTGATCAGACTGCTGTAAACTGGGAGGAGGCAACACTGAATGGACAAAACATGGGGTCAGATGAGGCTTACAACTTTGTCTTTAAGGGTGAGTAAATATCCTTCTGCACGCTTTAGTCAATCACCAGGCATATTCCCAAAGTGTCAGAAAGGTATCACACAGTAATGTCCAGTTGGACTCTAATTATACTTCCTTGTTTATGATTAACTTGGCAGTTTCCAGGAACAAGAGCAGAGGAGTATGCATGATTGTGTGTCAACAGAATGCCACAGATCAGTAATAAACGGTACACAGTGATGCACGACAGTGTGCACGTACAGTAGGTCTCTGGATGCAGCTCAGTCAGCTGTTTGAAATATTTGCTCCAGGTGAAATACAACAAAGCCGAGCAGTACTGTAGTGATATCATCATTTCAGCATATTGTTTCTGTGGGCGGACATGCATAATAGGGGCCATTGTTTAAATCAGGATGTGAACTTTCATTCCTGCTTGTCAAGCTAGAGTGTCAACAAGAGCCAGTCTGCAGATGTCACGTTAGTAAATCTTCACTGTAAACAAATTATTTTCTGTTATTAAAAAAATCACCCGCTTTAGCTTTGATAGCACATTTTAATAATTTTATTTAGAATTCAGTCTGCACAACAGAGGAAGTATTTGCTCTATCGTGCTTTTCCACATGGTAGCATTTAAGGACCAGCACGTTTCAACCAAGTGGACACAACCGGGGCTATAATAATAATATTAATAATAATGAAGACAACTAACAGCCAGACCAAAGCGCTAATGTAGAAGCTTGGAAAAGCAGAATGGAAAACCAGTGGGTGACCTCACCATGCCTGTAGCCATCTTTTATATACAGTCTGTGGATTCAAATTTACATTGAAAATTTACATTCAGGAAGTTGGGGCTGTTGCTATGGGCAGAGAACTTTTTCTCTTTTTTTTTTTGCTTAAGTCATTTCCATACACACTGACTTCATTTATTCCAACTTTTGATACCGTCTACTTTCACAGACTCCCAATTAATGGAAAAACTAATATCCTGCTGCTTAAGGTGCTGAATTTCTCTTAATGAGCTCATCTTTATTCTTGGAATTAAAGTAGCTTTGCATGAGTCATGCTTGGGCCTTGGATCAGCCCCTCAGTTTTAGCTTTAATACATTTTTTTCTGAACGTCTCCCCTCTCGGAGGAGGGTGGAACAGCACAGTGGGTCTCCTGCATCCACAGCCAGAAAGAGCAACCCACTCTCTGTGACATCATATCCAAAAAAAGAAAAAAAAAACCCAGTCTGAAACGTACTGTCATGCTAGTGTGAGTTTCCACTTCCATGAATGTGAGAGTCCGAATCAGCTAGTGAACACGAAGCCCTGCAGACGCCCACGCTTTTTGTGGCCAGATGGACACGACTGCAGAACACTACAGTGCAAAATATACTTCACCTTGTACTTCAGTATAATAGGCAGGACAAGTCATAATAGCAGGCTTTTTATTTATTTAGATGCTACAGCAACTATTCATTGTCCACACACCGACCCCCTACCTCAGGTCTACATTTGCCTCCAAAGGCACTGGGATCACACACAGACTCACCCAGCAAATGGTATTATTGTGGATTATAGAGCATTGTGGTGTATGTCCTAACGCTCTGTGTCCATATTCCCAGATAAAATCAGAACAACCGAAAAAGAATCTTAAAAATCACGACACAGCTTTGCCACAAAAACTCTGTCGGTATGATAAAGACTTTAATCTTTAAACACTTCACAGGACAAAGGGGGCTTTATTGTAACCAAAGCATGCAGGCGTGTGTTGGCTACTCCTTCCACAGTGTTTTCACACCAAACATTTTAATTTATCAGCACGCAGCCACAAGTGAATTCATCACATTAATGACTCCTGTCTTCTGCTTAAGGAGAGCCTCAGCACTGTGAATGCTGGCTCACTGGACCAGTTTACTGAAACACTTAATGAAGCTGGGGTCATTGTTGGTGTAGTGAAATCCATACCTGTGCTTTTCCTGCTTTGACAAGACAAATAATCTGTTGTGAAAAAGGCCTACAGGCAATGAGATGCAAATGTGACTCATAGTAACTCTTACAAAGGGGTAGCACGGTGGTTTGTGCTGCCGCCTGACTGCATCAGTGATCTGGGTGTGAACCTGCTGGTCTGTATTGAGATTTTTCCAGGTTCCCCAGATTTCTGCCAAAGTCCAAAGACATGTTAGTCAATTGGTTAATTGGCCTAAGGTGTTAGCAAACGTGGGTGTATCTTCAGATATTCACCAAGTATCATTATACCCTAAATAGTGCACTAAAAGTATCTAACTGTGCCTCATAATAAGTAGTGTGCAACCAGTGGTCACCATCCAGACACTGTAAACCATCATACATCCTGCTGTAGGACAAATTACTGCATGCACGAGGAGCGAGAGCAGCACATCACCACCAAGTTTTTGTGTTTCTGAAAAGAGCTCTCACCAAAATGAGGTTTTAAAAATCATTTTTCCCTGGAAGTTTTGCTTCTAATGGACACTCGTTATTGCAGTATTGATCTTGACAGTGAAGGGATGTTTCTCTGGCTGATAAACGTTAACAAACTTCCCAGGAAACCAAATCTACCAAACCAAAACTAGAGGCCTTTTTCAGCATGTGTGCAGGCCTCAATCCATCCAACGATAGCTCAAAGAAACTAATCAGTGAAATCAGTTTGAGCAGATTTTTGGAAAAGGAGGTATTGTATTAGTGTTCAATTCAATTCAGTTTTATTTATATAGCGCCAAATTTGGTGTTCCTGTCTCTTCATTTTGCCTAAAATGCTTTGCTGTATAAATTTAAATAAAATTGAATTGGTAATTAGATATTAAAATTAATTAGCAGGCTTATGTACATACTAATATTGACTCTTTCAAATGAACATGTAGGATGCCATTATGAACATTTAATGTGGTTTTGGTATTGTTAAGTATAACTGTAGATCTGAAGGCAGGGTTGAGGTGACACGCACACATTTGTCCCCCAGTAAAATTAAGAATTATGATTACAGAGGTGCAAAAGTAAATAAAACAATATACAAGAAAAGAACACTACATGCACTGTATACATGATATTTGGGTTACAGGAAACATTGTAGGGTGTGTACCATGGCATCTTAATAAAATATAATAAATAATGTGGTGGTGGAAGCGCTATTACTGAACCTTTTGTGGAAAATGTAGTTAGTAGAGTAAGTTATGCAATAGTTTTTTCTCTTTGTTCAGAAGTGTTTTTGCTAGGTTGCTGACTAATCTTAAGATAATGTTGCCTGTCCTCCTTAGATTTAAAGCCAGTTGAAATGTAAATGATTTATAAAAATCATCCAAAGCATTTGCAACTGCAGAGAGTTTTGAGCATGGACACAAATCCTGCAAAATCGTATTTGAGCTATAAAGTCCAGGTGTTTAGAAATGACAGCAGGTTTGGCTCTACGTGCATATTGAAACAGGCTGCTGCTCAAACAAAATAAAACTGATATCGGACAGAAGCCTCAGCTCTCACAGGGACCAAAGAGTTAATCATACCCACATGTGTGCTAACTCGGGAGGGACAATATTAAATAGAAAAGCTGAGAATAATTACTTGACAATGGTACAGAATGCCAGAGAGCTTCACGCCTGATTTTTATTTTTCTTAAAGAAAGAAACAAACAAAAAGAAGCCTTTCCACCATAAACATGTAAAAGGTCCTAACTGGTGTATAAAACTTCAGCAAAATTCCCCAAATGAAGTGTTTCCTGGGGGATGACCAGCAGACCACAAGCTCCTCCCACTGCTGTAAGTGAACCCTACATTCACCCGTTAAGGTGTTTAGTTTCAACCTGCAGCAGAACTGTGTACATTACACCAACTACATTTCCAGGCCTGAAGGTCATGACAGCAAAGTAAAGCAAAGAAAGTGAAAATTTAAGCTTTTGGCCTCCTGAGGATCAAACCAGACCGGCCACATGCTTGAAGGCCGCTTGTCCTGTGTTGCTATGGAAACATGAGGCATTGTTTGATTAGAAGTTACTCAGTAGACAAGGAGAAAAGGGGGGAGCAAAAGCAGCGCACTTATCTTGGTGAACAATAACCTAAAATATTCTTCAGCAGGACCTCAGACTTCAGGTCAAACATAGGCACAGCTTACTTATTTGTCTTTTTAGATTTTATGGGACTCAGCCGGTGTTAAGGTGCGGAAAATAGCACTTTTTATGTCCTGTGGCTCAGAGAGTTTAAAAAAAAGGAAAACAAATTATTTTCAAACCCTGACTGATGTTGATTCAAGGAAACAGCAGTGTGGAGAAAACAATCTCCCAGAATTTATTTGCTTTTCTGCAGCTTTCAATAAATCCAAAACAGCAGATGGAGTTTTGCTCAGTTGTTGTTTGGTTTTGTTGGAGTTCTTTTTCACATTTTTGAAAGCTGTTGGCCATGTTAGACAAGGTTCAAAGTTCCTTCGCAAGACTTAGAAAAGAAGATAAGTTAAAAAAAAAGTGTCACTCCACAGTTAAATTAGTAACTGCTCTGACATTGTAAATCACACCGGCTTTTTCAGCAGATGGAAGTGGAAAATTAACACGTTGCATTAATGGGCAACCCTGATGATGAAGAACAGTTACGAAGAACTAGATCTTATGGTGAGATTGTTTTCTCAGCATTTAGCGTGGTAATGGAACATTGCTACAGCTCCAATAGCGTGTTCATGCAGTCAACAATTTACTGCTATCAAGGTGAAGAACTGATCACGTCTTTACTTTAAATATCTTCAACCCTGCTGAGAGTCTGTCTCTAAAAATAACAGTTTTCAGCATATGTGAGTTTAAACTGGCAAATGCTGAATTTAGTCTCGTGATAAAAATCTTTAAGTACTTTAGATTTCCCGGTAACTGCACATATACACAAAAAAATTTATCTTTTGCTATTTGAGAATTCTTGATTTAAATTTTCCATGCAGTTGCAGGGAGAAATAAGCTCTTCACGTTTGTAATAGTTAGACTGATGAACGGGGGTGGGGAATTAATGTTTCCAAGGAGCCATATGAGAGCCTGGGACTGCTGTGGAGGGCTGCACCACTAAGCTGAACTCAATTCTGCCCAAATTTATTAAATTGAACTTGTATAAGCTTACTGGTATGGCCCTCCTGGGACAACAGTCCCAGTTTACTTCACATCCCTGTTTCCAAAGGCAGACTTACCACTCAGCAGCTGTCTGTGTAGAGCTCCATGGAACTTATTTGCGCAGTAATTTTAAAACATTATTAAAATGTAACTTTTACTTTAATATTCACTGGGACATCATAGACTCACTAGTTATTTATGTAATAAATAAATAATACTTTTGTAGAATCCTCTTATTCTTGGACATGTGTACACCCCGACATCACGCATTTCTTTGTTGTGGACGGCTGGTCACTATAGCGGTCGGTCCAGGCTCTGGTTGCCCAGGTAAACCATCTCTGTCATTGGTAGGGTTTTTAGCTCACCTCAAACTTAAAAGTTTCACTAAACCACTGAATAACTTCTTGCATTGATGTTTTTTTATAATGTGCATGGACAGAAATTGCTTGCCAGCTGACTCTATCCAAAAAATCTATTCACTACCACATCTAAAATTTCACTGATTTATCCCTTAAAACACCTTTAGAAACTCTTTACAAAATGACATTTGATGCACTGAGTAGGTTTAGTTTTATGGGACAACATTGCCAGGCTAGTTGTTTGCCTCTTCAGTATTTATTTACACTAATCTAGATAAAGATAAATACAGATAAAGATACAGAAAAACTACATTTTTTAGAGCCACATCCGGGCAGGAAGTATAGACATCAGGCTTGTATTTCCTCGTTAATAATGAGCTGAAGCTGAGATTAGGAACAAGATGGGGTTAACAAATATCAAAAACAGTATGTCATAATTAATGGCTTTGAAGATGTCATAACACCTTGGCTCACTGAATCTACAGCAGTTACATGTAACTTCATCTTATCCAGTTATTCACTGGTCTCATTTTTTCTGTTTTCTTTGTGTGGTCATACTTTTTTATCTTTGTCAATTAAGCCAAGCCTCTTTTTTCTCTCTGAGTCAGCTACTTAACAACTGAAACCCAAATATTAGTCACTGACATGTACACAGGGGGTGTCTGTGTTACTTCTCCTGTTTACTCAGTAGGTAGGTTGCTCTGGCAAAAAGGAAGTAGCAGTTGAACTCGTTCCACCTGATTTGGAATAACTTTGCAGATGGTTTTATTTCCAAAAACAACGGCTTGTTCGTGGAAAAGAGAAAAAGACCCCAAAGGCTTTCAGTTTTCCAGGAGGGAAACGTGTGTTTCACAGAATTTATAAATGAAGGAGAAAAAAACACAATCTGCAGCGCATTAAAAGAAAATACATTTTAAAAATATTAATCAGTCACACCAAGAACAATGAACGGCCCAGAAAAAGGTTAGGATCTGTGTGCTGCACAGCTTCACTCAGAAATAAAAACACTGCCTAAAGCCAAACTGTGAAAGAAAAAATAAACTGTCACACTTATTTACTGCTGTTAATAAATCAAATAAGCAGCTGATTGTACAGCCACCCTCTCGTCCAGTGTACACTGAGATATACTCAAACCCCACAAACTACAACTAAGCAGAGGCGTTTAACTCTGTTTGCCCTCTATCTGCATTCTTTCCTCTGCGTGCTTTAGCTCAAATAATTAACTCTTTCACCATGAAGTTATTTCCTGATTGTGCAATTAGCCCAATGTCAGACAGCAAATACTGTGGATTTATGGAGCAACTACAGGAGACACACCTAGGCATAAGACAAAAATGGTTGTAAAGGATGAAGTGGATCTCGGGGGATTGGCTTTGTTAGTTTTGCAATGGCTGAGTGCAGGCTTTCAACAAAAAAAGAAATGTCTAATTAAAATTTCTCTCTGTCCTCTGCAGTGGTTCTAATAGGAGAGTCTGGTGTAGGAAAGAGCAATTTGTTGTCCCGCTTCACCAAAAATGAATTTAACCATGACAGCCGCACAACCATCGGGGTGGAGTTCAGCACACGGACAGTGCTGCTCAACAACTTCACCATCAAAGCTCAGATCTGGGACACTGCTGGGCTGGAGCGATACCGGGCCATCACATCTGCGTGAGTATATACTACTAATATCCCACTAATAAATGAGAATAATTACAGAAGGTTATGGTAGCTCACTACCCAGTAATTATATTGTAATTATAAAATGCACATGCATAATAGGGGTTATTGTTCAAATCAGGATGTGAACTTTCATTCCTGCTTATCAAAATACAACGTCAACAAGAACCAGTCTGCAGATGTCGTGTTAGTAAAACTTCACTGTGAACAAGTTATGTTCTGTCATTTGTTAATTGACAGAAAATGTCCTTTTTTAAACTGTTGAGTTGTAAAAAAATCACAAATTTCTATAGTAGATAGTGAAAAGCACTTTCTTTAATTGTTTCTCTAATATTTAATTACTTTGGCATAGCCTAAATGGCTACAGGGGAAGTCTTTATCAGTAGGAAAATCTGCACAACTTATGAACATCCAGTGTGCCGGATCGAAGTCTGTGCCAGGCCAACTCCGACCCCCTGGCTTCATGTTTGCTTTACGTCATTTTGATCAGGTTCCTGTAGGAACTACTTTCTTTCTACTCAACTACGCATACCAACTGTGTCCTTGTGCAGGAGCAGGCGTGACAAAAATCCTGTGCTTAACAGGACACAAAGGCAACTCCCTCAGATGATCTGTATTGACAGTTTGCTTCCCACTTGGCCAGCGTAGTTGGGCTGAAACAGCTAAATTCACTAATGAATAACGCTACAGTCCAGAAAAAAATCATTACATTCTTTTTCCAGGATGTCACATAATGCCTTCTTGTCAGCTGTCACCACAGTCTCACCATTATGCACAAGGTGTCTGTCAACATCAGTGTTGTCATACAACAGTCCCATTTTATAGACCTACAAAGTCCACATTAGGAGGCTGTAACCTAGTCATGTCATCTTGCATGACCCTATTTTATCTAGGTCATTGTATCAGTCCATATGGGATAGGGGGAACTAGAGACTCCAGTTTTCATAGGTCAGGGCAGGTTGCCATTCTATCTGAATGCTAGCACATGCAGAAAACTCTGCTGCAATCAGTGTTTGTTAAAATCAACAATCAGTATGTGCAACTCTTGTCTTAAATCAAGTTTATTAATCTAAACTGGTGGGTATAAAATAATGGTTCACATTGCAATCTTCTTTTGTCACTAATATGTGTTCTTCATTAAGAATGCATCTTAAAAATGTGTGACTTTTATGCACACCTGCAAACCGACACGCACAATGCTTTTGCAGTCCACATGCCTGTTTTCCTGCTGCTTAGTTGTTGAGCAAACCTGTATGTCGACATCTTAAGGCGGTGCTGTTATCAGCCAAAACAGCCACGAGGACAGGTGCTGATCCTCGGTTACCTCCCGCATTACCTGAAAAACCACAAGCACATTCTTGTCTCCATTTTCTTTCCAACTGGCACATTTAAAATCCACTTGTTAGGACAGTGATGTTCCTTTGAACACTCAGTGCTTCTCTCTTCCAACTGATTCAGTATTTTTTTTCTTCCCTAATTAAACTAGAAGGATTAAGAGTGTGGAAACGGGTTTTAAAACAATAGAACCATGTCCGTTTTATTTTTAAGACACGGGGAAATCTGAGGATATGCTACACCACTGGATTAGCTCTTTTCTGACAGCGTGGCTTTTTGAGTAATTACTGGCCAACTTATTCCAGTATGCAAATTCTCACTCCCATGGAATTTCCCATTTGTGCTGTAACAAGCAGCTAAAACCTATTAAAGTGGAATTAATTATGCTGCTGGAAGAGGAGAGCAGAATTGTGATTGTCGGGGAAGTATTGACTGGTTCGTAACTTCAGAGCAATCAGAAGTCATTAATTAATTTTTTTCAATGGACGGCGGCAGGAGCTGCCTATTATGCTTCCATACTGGCGACAGCTGAAGCTAATACCATAAGCACTTGAGTACATATGTCCATCTACTCCCTCCTTATGAACACGATGTCACTCTGATGATTTTTAATCTGATTTTTTTTTTTTAAATCACTTCATAATTATCGCTGTCATTTAGCTGCTTAGTTCAAGCGTAAAGATTTCTGTGTGCAACTGTAAAGGCTGCCTCATCCTAACAGGTATTACAGAGGTGCTGTTGGAGCCCTGCTGGTCTATGACATCACCAAACACCTCACCTACAAGAGTGTGGAGCGCTGGCTAAAGGAGCTTTATGAACATGCTGACCCCCACATTGTGGTAATGCTGGTAGGCAACAAGACTGACCTGGAGTCAGAGAGATCAGTGCCTAATGAGGAGGCCAAAGACTTTGCAGGTACAAAGTCAACAAGTGCTAAACCTAGAAATTAGTGCATGTGTTCTGTTCTATTTACCGTTAATGGGAATTTTTTTGTGTTGCCCCAACAAAACTGAGAACAGCATTTCACTTGAGAGAAAAGGTACAGAAAGGATCTCTGTGATTTCACAGAACCTGTCAGCTGCATGTTTCCTGTTTTTAGCAACAACTAAAAGCAAAAATATGATTTTTGCAAGAAGAGGAGATTGAGATTTTAAAGAAGAACATGTTGATACAGAGTGAAATTCTATGTTTCCAACATATAATGATGTTCAAATGCAGCTTCAAACCCCAAGACGTATGTCAGAGAATTATAAAGACTAAGAAATGTTACTCAAAAATGTTGCGCCTGCATTTCATTTCCAAAGCAAAACATCTTTGATGTTTTTGAAATGTTATCAACTTTTGTGAAAAATGATTATGTTTTCACTTTTGTGCTTGCTTTATTCACATCCAGGACTGCAGCAGAATTTAATTTCTGATAATTATGGAGACTATTACTGTGTCTATGAAATCAAGTCAAATTCCTGTTCAATCATTCTTTGTGGCTCTAATTTCCTATTATTTGATTAAAGCTAGAGTATGCAATGTTATTACAGAGCGCATTTCAAACACCCCAATGTTAAAACTAGAGACACAATTTGATAAAAGTGAAAAATAAAATAAGCACAGATGTGAATTTAATCATGAATGTTTGTATCATTATTAATACAGAGAAGAAAGGCCTTTTCTTCCTGGAAACCTCAGCCTTGGATTCTACAAATGTAGAAGCAGCATTTACCACTGTCTTAGCAGGTAATATATATATTTATTTATGTTTACACATGCTTCATGTGTTTTTATATTGCTGATATAAATGAATGCCATTTCTCCTTGCCTTTCCTTTTCCTACATTTTGTGAATATTTACTATAAATTATGCATCTGTTACCCTTACTCTTACCAATTTTTCCACTCCTGTGGTCAGTTCCTCTTTCCAATATAGAATATGTTCCAGAAACAGCAGGAAATCCAGTGATATCTATTTATATCATGCTTTTCACAGGCAAATGTTTTACAGAAGACAAACGTAACAATAAAAATTTAATAAAGAAAAAGAAAAGCAGGAAGGTAAGGGATTAAATAATCTAAAAGAATACATTAAATATACAATAAAAAAAGGATGAAAATGATCCCAATTAGAAGAAAAGAGACACAGTAAACAAAAGCCAGTGAAGAACAATGATAGCATTATACGACAAAAGTGTAAATATAAGCAGAACTGACAAAACTTAACCCGTACTGCTTTTATAGGAATTAAGAGGTTGTTGCTACTCAAATGCACTTCAGCTGTCAGCTATCAGCTGATCATCGGCGAGTGTGAGCACCTGTATAAAAGGCTCGCAGGCCTGGAGCATTCAGCTGCCATGGAGGAAAGACATTTTGGAGAAGCAACTCCTGAGAAGGGCTATAAACCCGTTTACAAACAATTTAAAGTCCATCATTGTGCAGTGGAAATAATTCAAGGCAGTTACCAGATATCCCAGGAGGATAGGTCTCATCAAATTCACCCCAAGATCAGATCATGCAATGCTAAGAGAAACCACAAAGGACCAAAAGCTACCTCTGAGACTACAGGCCTCAGTTAGCATGTTAAAGGTTAAAGTTCATGACAGTACAATTAGAACAAGAGTGAATAAGTGTGTCTTGTTTGGAATAGTAATCAAAAGAAAGCCTCTTCTCTTGCATCTGGACAAACCACACATTTTCTGGATCAATGTGCTTTGGACAGACGACCCAAATCAAACTCAATATATGAGCACAAACACCTCCGACCAACTGTCAAGCACAGTGGTGGAGCCACATTTTTGAAAGGTTTGAGCGCTGCTTATTACATAGCATAGAAAATCATGGTGGACGTGCCAGTTATTAGTAAATTTCTAATCATAGCCTTCTATACTTTTGTGCGGCCCAGAACCATGGTATTACTGTGTTTTATTTTGTTAACCACTTTTCTACTTTTTCATTCTTTCTGCGCCATCATATATATATCAATTTCATGCCATTAGAGATTCACAAGAAGGTAAGCAGTAAGGAAGTGGTCCGAGGCCCCATGAGTGCAGTTACCCTGAACAGCCCTAAAGCAGAAGACACAGAGAAGAAGTCCTGCTGCAAGAACATCTGACCCCACCATCCTTCAGGACTCGGGCGTCACGGTGGGGAACTCCTCCTTTTGCCCCAAGCTGGAATTTGTTGGAGGCAACCTCAGGCACCAGTATAAATGGTTCTGGCTTGAATGCTGCAACTTTGAATTGACTGATTTAAGAGTGGTAGAGCCGGCATGGTGGTAAGATGCATTAAAACGACAGTTGAAAATGTGAACAGATGGAGCTGGAAACCACCAGCAGTCTTTTAAGTTACTTCTTCACTACTGAACAAAGGTCAAAGGTGAAACTAAATTGTGTTACCTGTCAGATTATTCATAATCCATTCAGGGAATTGAAAACACATCATAGTGTGTATGATGTCTAAAATATGAGGACGCATGTTTCAATGTTTTTTCTTATAATCAGCAGCTTGATTGGTGGAAATGTTTGTATTCATTGTGAGTGTTGCTGTCACTGCTGAGCGTGTGCTCCAGCTGGTTATCTATGATGAGACTGATTACATATCTGTTAAGAAATAAATGGAGACAAATTACCCACTGTGTATTTTTGTGTCTGTCCCTTTGTGGGTTTTGTGCACCCATCTTCTGATGTCTGCTTCCAGCAAGATAACCTGCCATGACACACAGCTCAAACCATCTCAAACTGGTTACGTGAACACTAAAGGAATTCACTGTACCCAAATCCCTCCACAGAGGAATGGGAGATTAACATCACTGCTGTGGAGCTGACAAATCTCTTGATGTTATCATGTCAATATGGATCAAAATCTGAGAAATGTTTGCAGTACCTTGATGAATCTCTGCCGCACCGAGGCAGTCCAAGCTAATACTCACAAGGTGCACCTAAAAATGTGTCCACTGAAGCTCTAAGCTCTGGAAACAATGAGTGAGCAGCTCTGAGGGCTTTACCGTATATGTAAATCAGCAAATGACAATAATTTACAGAAAGCACATTTACATTGTTTTCAGTTTAATTTCAACTTCAGCTCGAGACTGAGACCATAAAAGCATCACAGAAATGTTTAAGGTTGAACTAATAACCCAAGTGAGCAGCAGGACTATTTTCTTATAAAGGTTTTCTAACCAGAGGAGTTGCCTCCTGCTGGCCATTAGACAGAATGCAGGTTTAAGGACCCTCCATATTGACTTCACTGTTTAAATGCTGAGCCACATCAAATTTTTGTAAATGTTTGTAACATCTGTGGTTTTCCTTAACGTCTTCAGACTATATTGTGACTATCCAATTCAGCTTTGCCAGGGCGATGGAGCTTATTCCAATCAGGCATGAGTCAGGGTACATCCTGGACAGGTCACAAGTCTATTACAGGAGTAGCACAGAGGCAGACACCATTAACACCTACAGTCACTTTACCATCATCAGTTTACAGAATAGGCATGTCTTTGGGCTGTGGGAGAAAGCTGGACTACCTGGAGAGAACCTCAGAACAGAAAGGCCAGCCAGAGGATTTAAACACTTACTTTTTATTTATCATTGTAAAAAAAAAGAAGAAGAAATAAAAAAAATTTAAAATAAGATGAATGGAGCCACTGTGATGTCACCCACTAGTTGTGGACCTTGCATTTTAAGGTGCAAAGTATCCACAGAGACCCTGACTCCTTCTTGTACCGCTCTGTCAACAAGAGTTTTAATGCTGTTTAACAGGAATAACTGATGAGACTGTGGGGGCTGACCTGCTTTTGAACACAGAGGAACTGCAGTCATTGAATCTAAAGGTTGCCACTTGCAAAAGCATTAATAACATTTATAATTTCCCAATAAAACAGTAGTTTTTAAATCACAGAAGCACACTCCAGTAAAGTGAGATCATTCCTTGTAGTGAGCTCAGCTCTCTTGGAAACTCTGTGAGCTAGAGTACTAAAACATTTGGCTGAAGTCTGTGTCCGACTCGGACTTGCTCATTGCTCCACATGAAATGCTTAGCCGCACCAAGGGTCATAACCTCTGAGGAAATCTGTAATGAGGTCTGAAAATTTCAGAAACTTCAACACATTTGAAGACACTAACACGTGGAAAAAGTTCTGGGGGAAAAACTCAAATGAATTTTAGATGCACAGCAGCACGTCCGTCTAGCAGAGCAGGTCAGGGCAACCTTTTCAACCGTGACATCGTCTTTCCTCTCACTGGGTGCAGATAATTAACTGGCCCAATCAATGATGGTCAGATGATGATGCATGGAGATTAAAAGGTGATTTCTTTCCAGATCAGCTGTTGTATGGGAAGGTAGGGGATTGCCTGATAAACAATGAGCTGAACCAGCAATGACTCTTTATCAACCACCGAGTATCAGCTGATCTGTGCTGTTAATGTGTGGATTCATGTCTCTGACCACATTGTTGAAACAGTATGAATAAAAAACAATGCAGTGAAATCTTATCTGAACATATTGTTGATTAGTACACTGCGGAATTTCACAAGCTTTCTCAATCTGAGTGTTTCATTCTTTAACTGGTGGTTAATGTGCTTAGGCTATGTGGTCTGTTTATTATTATCAAGTCTCTTTTGGCACTGAAGTTTATACAGAAAATAAATGTGGAGCAAATCTTTATATCTTACACATGCAAGTGGATTGAGCTTTGTTAGATTAGGGGTTTGACGGGCCATCATAAAATCAGGATATTTGAGTAGAAATAGATTTAAAATGTGACTTTCAGTCTTATGAGTAGCCCCATACCCTAATATATAAGGAATTACATGAAAAAAGAGAGTTAAAATATTTTTGTCTATTGACTAACCATTTTTCAAAGTAGCAAAATAATGTATTTTTAAAGACCATAAAAACTTGAGAATAAGTAGAAAAGTCATGATTCTACTTGAATAGCCTAATTGGGTGAACATTTTAGCATCAAAAACTCCATACATACAGTAAAAATTTTCATTATGCAGAATGATATATAGTACCTAATCACAAGTACTGATTAATGTATGCAGCATATCATGTTAATATTGCAGCTGGAGATTATTTTAGTTACTTTTCTGTAGTTTTATCAATAATGATACCATATAAGGTATCTGTCGATTTGTATTTAACAAGTAAAGCTTTCAACTAACTTATACAGAGAACAAATTGCAATATTTGCAACCAAAAGGCTGTACCTGACTGGATCTCTGAAACATGAGGCTTGATTATCTTCCATATATAAAAATTTTTTTATTAAGAGTTAGTACCTGGTACCACGGACTTTTAGCACCTACTTGGCTTGGGTTCCAAGCAACCTGAGTCCGAAAATGTTACGTCTACAGACTGCACGCCTCCGATAGGCCAGTCAGTGTCGTTGTTGAATGAGTCATGAGACCGACTCTTTCACACAAGTCCAAACCATCATTTTTGACCCTACAAACAAGGGAAATGGTTGCACAAAAACCAATAAAAAAGCCATAGACTGAGCATCACCTCCACATCCTACATTGTTGTGTTTTTTGTCACATACAAATGACCCCACACAGATTGAGTTGGTAATGGGAAAACGATTGAAATCAAGCAGAGTCAAGTGGAATAGAGGCTTAAGATTTCATAATGCCATGGTGTATGTTGCAGGTGTTTTAGTGAACTGTAATAACCTTTCTCCATGCTCCCCCTTCATTTCTTCTCACTCATCAACCAACCCAGATAGCTGCCCCTCCCTCAGCCTGGTTCTGCTGGAGGTTTCTTCTTGTTAAAAGGGACTTCTTCCTTCCCACCATTGCCAGGAGAATGCTCATAGGGGATTATATGACTGTTAGAACTCTTTCTGTAGTATCATAGCATTTTAACCTTACAATATACAGGCATCTTGAGAAGACAGATGCTGATGTAAATAAAACAGGATTTAACTGAACTGGATTTGGTTATTTAAACTAACATTTTAAATACCTATTGGGGGAAAGGTTATTTTTGCAGGCTAAAACTTCAACTGTCAGTGCCTGCTTAAAAGTTACCTTTGTCTGGGGCTCGGTATTACCTGTTGAGGCTTGGGGCTGCAGACGTCATCCCAGTTAACGACCGGCAACTAAATCGTGAACGACAGCACAGCGGACCAATCACATCAACGGCCGTGACAGGTGTCGAGCAGCTATTGACCATTGGGAGAGAGCGGGGGGCGGGACTGATGACTCGACGTGACGTCACAGCTTCGGTTATGGCAAGTGACAGAGAGTGAGGAAGAGGAGGCGAAACTTTCCGAGCTCGGAGTTGTGCTCGCAGCTATTCATGTGTGACACGAATCGAGCCTCGCTGTCGTCGGAGTGACAACTAATCGCTGGTCGCGCGAGGTCGGAGTCGTGAGCGGGTGCTGGGTCGCTGTCGAAGTAAAAGTGAATACGCCAGAAGTTTGTTCGACTTCGAGTAAAACAGCAGAGGAGACACTATGACCAACAGAGAAGACGAGTATGACTACCTCTTCAAAGGTAAGCGGCCGCTAACCTGTAGCCTCCTGGCTCTGTTTTCGCGTCACCTGTGAGCGGCTGTCATTTGATGCCGAGCGGCGTGCCTAACAACAAGGTGAAAGGAGACGCAAGCCACACGTCGACTCGACGGCACCTGAATCGACCTGTAACTTCGAGTGCTTTTAGTTATAACCCAAGTTATGAAGTGGGCTTATAGCCTCACTCGTAGCCGTGGTATTGGAAGAATGGGAGGCAGCTCAGAGCTCTCATGTATGGCGTTAAGCAGCATCTGCCGGGGAGTCATCATCTTGCAGGCCTATGATGCAATCGTCTTGGGATGCGGCGTTGGTCAACAGGGGGATCGTACGATGTGGCTCGGAGGTCTCTTATAGTCAGGGCTGAATACTTGAGTCTGAATGTACACAAAGTTTCGGAAAATCTCACCAAACCGCTTTCTGTGACAATCACACCCTTTCTGTGATCACTAAAAGTTGCTAATATGCTCTGGTTCCTCCCTGGATACCTTGAAATTACAAGTCTTTGCTTCATTTGTTGTATTTGTTTTGCTCTGTCCGACTTCTGAAAGCCTTAATTAGGCACAGAGGACATGACTGAGACAGACAAGACAGTTTCATTTTCAAAGAGTACAATTTAGTTTTGTATATTGGAACAAAATGTCTACCCACCCCACCAAGGATGAGCAGGAAATGCTGATCCTGTATTTCCTGCAGGTGTACAGATAATATTTAAAGTGTATGTCACTGCTCTGCAGATGTCTGACAGACTTGATTAAAAACAGATTAACAACACATCCTTATTTTCATATATATGTGTATATATTGGCACAAAATGTCCGCCAACCTCTAGGAAGAGGAGGAAATATGACCCCTGTTTTATTGGCATGGCCTTCACTTCCTGCATGTGTGCTTATGCTGCTGTTCATAGGATTTTAAACATATATTTCTTAAAATGAAATAACCTTAGAAGTTGTCTGCCTGAAAGGCACCAAGGCCGTAACAAAGAAATCAATACAAACATTGATACTTGAGGATGGGACAAACGTTCATGTTTGCTGGCACATCATACAAAGCAAAATGTCACATTTTTAGATTTGATTTCTTGCTTTAAATGCCAGCAGAGCTGTTAAAAG